CATCCACTTCAGAATTATTTCAACTTTCTTTCGCTTGCAAAGGGAATAGCCACACGGCTGGCCAAAACTGACCCTTATCGCGCATGCCCTCGCGCATGTGTAATGTGTGAGTTAGTTATATGTTCAATATAGAATTTAAAGGCTGACGTTTCGAGCCTTTGCCCTTCGTCAGAGTGAATGACGAAGGACCAACGCTCGAAACGTCAGCTTTGAAACTCTTTGCGGTGGCCAATTTACATTATCAACTCAGTCGATAAAACCTCAATTACCTTGTGACGCTCACCGACGCAGCACCACAGTTTCTATTTGTATATTTTCATGTATTGTTATATTGTACCCAAGTTTCAGCTTGAAATTTTTATCACTAGAAGTAGACATCTATATTCATACAGGATAGCCCCTTCAGTGCAGTAAACACCGGTATCAACGGGGGTCCTGTTACCCACCCATCGCACTCCAGGGGAGGACATCCATCACACGGTAATCTCGTGCGTGGGAAATTAACGTCTCCTGCCCCTAACCCTGCGGGAGACGGGACCTTCATTTATTCGTCTCTATCCGAGAAGACTAGAATATCTAATCATTTCTTGATGTTATAGAAAGGTAGCATATTCTTCTCAATTATTTTAAGACCCTGAGTGTTGGTGCGGCCGGGGCTCGAACCCTCTACCTCCCGCACAACAGTCTAGCGCTCTATCCATTGAGCTAACCGGGAGGCTTATGGCCCGTTGTAAATTCAAATAGCTTAGGGTAATTTTTTATAATTATTTTGTTAACTTTGTTACTTCACATTTTATTAGTTAATCGTAGGTCCACATCAGCTTCACTGGCTGCCAATAATCTTTGTAAGTTGCATTACTAAATCAAAATGATGGTGATGATACATTTAGTATGTTGCGCCTGTGCCAAATCGATCATCGACCGGAGGCAATAGCTCTTTCAAAGTGTCTTCATAGCTCCTCTCTACCCCTTTCGCCTCCCTCTCCACCCTCAAAATAACACGTCTGTTTGTTTACAGGTGAAAAGTTTCATGATCATGACCCTCCAGCAATAAAACTTTCAGGTTATTTCCCACCTTCACGGGTATCCTTCGGGAAAAAAATTCGTGCGCGCGCTAGTTTCAAGAAAACCCTAACAAACTATAAATCAAAAGAAAGCTTATAAATATAGTTTACGATACAAAATATATTTTTTTAGGAATTTTGTTCATTTAGGAAGTATCAGAAGCCGGTAAGGCGTGAAACGACCGGGGATCCTTTTATTGAATTTATCGGGTATCGGATTCCACAGCACGAGCAAAATGACTGCACAGTTGGTTGTCTAGATATGCGAATCTAAAGTTAGAGTAGCGTAAAATATGCAAAAGGTGTGTTCGTAAATGGACACAACCTGAAAAATATTTCAAATATCAAAATTTCCTGACACTCTTTCGTTCGTCATTATCTCTGAAATGTTTTGGCCTAATTTCACGAAAATCAGTCAAATCTACACACCCTATAAATTCGCTCAAAGTAGGTGTATTCCTCTCAAAATCAAATGCAAGATTTTAGCACCTAAAGGTTTGTAAACAACCAGCGCCACACCAGTAGATTAGGGACTTTAAGCAAACCACCACAGCTACGGCAACGAGAACTTGGAAAAACAATAGATCTAATTGGCAGAACAATAACCCAGCACGTGCATTTTCAAACTTTGTACATTTCTTAGCCGTCCTTTGCAAAACAACAACGTGAAATCACCAAAATTTGCGTCGTCTGTGAAGCTAAACCGCGGCGGCAAGTTATTTCAATTTACATTTGGAACTCAACGCTACTTTTATGCGTTATGCTGAGTTTGAGGTCTGGCGCCCTATGAGACGGTACGCACATCCAGCCGTTTTCGAAATTCTAACTAAAAGTAGAAACTCATTTTTTTGATCGACGTCTTCCGTGGCGTTGCCGTCCTGACTGCTTAAAGTCCCTAATCTCGCCTCCTGAAACCGCGAAACAATGGGAAGACGGGAGCTCCTGGCGTCACGTTTTTTTTTTTTTTTATCTCGCTCTGTTGAAAGTTGAGTAATGGAAAAAAATTGGCAAAGAAAACACCCGCGGCAAAAAAGGGAAAGCTGGAGAAACTGCTGAAAAGGAAAACAGCGAATCGACAGACAGATTATGTAATACCCTTATCGCTGAAATAAGTTCCTCGGCTAGGTTTATAGGTTTATTTATGATTTCATACGATTCAAGGCGACTGCCAATATATTGTATCAAGGCCGGTACTTGCTTATTAAAAGGAAACTTCGTTTTTAATCTTATGTGCGACAAAGGTAAATTTGATGGCGACTTCTTTGTTCTTAATTTAGACGCCAACGTGGGGAGGAGTGCCAGCACTGATTTTTTTTTCTCCTGACAAAATGGCGCCTTTTTTTCTTCTTTGGGCGTGATTTTTCTTTTTCTTTGCCCAGGAACTCCTCTCTATTCTGAAGTTTAGCCTTCGATTTCTGTTTTTTTATCCATAAGAAAACACCTTCCACAAAGCAGAGAACTTTCACGTGTGAATTTTGTTAAGTGCGCGCTGTAAACAAAATATGCAAATACCATGAAAGAGCCGCGAATACTCCCCAGGGGGTTTGCCCCTTTACGAGATTATGACACCCTCCTGATTTATTAACTTTTATTTAAAAATACGTTTTCCTAAATAAGTCGGAAGCTTGAGATTTTAAAATTTTTCTTTTTGTGAACGTTACGTAAAATGTCTAACTTCAATCATGTCCAATAAAAGAGAAAGCGATTATTTCGACCTCTGCTTTGAGCGACTAGAAAAACTGTCGTCCATCGTGACAAACAGTCTCTATCGAAGGCCCAAGTCTTGCGAATAAGATCTCTTCATTTACAGTGTCCGAGAGCTGTTGAAACGAGTATGATAAGATAGTAATATTTGGAACAAGCTCTGTTAGTAATCAGTGTTGTCTCGCGTTTCAGTTGATTATTGGAGTTTCACCTTTTTTGAGATTGGGGATGTAAATGGAGGTGCTGACGTGATCCATTGAATTGACTCGTCCAATTCATGATCCCATTTTGATGTAGTTTCAAAAGATAGAGGCCGGGGAGAGTAGAGCTGGATAAAAGGAAAGAAGGAATTAGATGATGCATAGGACCGTGGCGATTGCCAAAATAATGAAGAAGAAACAAAAAAATCCATTTTGAAGTCCCCATAATCATCACCCGTGAAAGCGCATGGGCAACAGACAGCGAAAAAGTTCGTTGCGGCTATTTCACTGAAGAATGAAAAAAAGGAAATGATTTTCGAGTGCTAAGTTTACCAGTGTTACTCACCAACGATGAGCAAAACATTCGTGATAATTTAAAAGTGTGTTGAAGCAAAAAGATACTTATAACAGAGCGTGAGGTGGTTGTTAAGTATGTTGAGAAAAAACATAGGAAGGCTTTAATGGGGGAAAGAAGCCATCCACTTGAAAATTAAATCAAAATGTTTACATTGACAGAGACAACAAAGTTGAAACTGCCGCAGCAGGAATGATTACAACAAACAGCCAGTCAATACAAAAGCGGACTTGTATGGAATACTGATAAAATTTCCACGTAAAAAACAACCGTTTTTTATTCATTTTCGAAACAGCAAAATAGTGCAATTAAAGTGGTCACCAATCGCAAAATGCCTGTCACAAAAATGTTATGAAACTCGGATATAAAGTTAGTTAAGTTCACCGAATGATTACAACAGGGATTTCTTCCAAGCAAACGTAACACCTTTAGTTTCCTTGATCACATTCTCTGTCGGAAGTCAGTAAATTAAGTTAAGTCACTTAGAAATAAATGAAATCTTAATGCAGTTCGTATACGGTAGAATGAAATGAATAGCAGAACTCTACTTTGTTCAGAAACGCTTTATGATGGGCTTATCGGGTGAATTTTCTTTCTTTTATTTCCAAATTTCCCGAAGGCTCTGTCAGGTGTTCCTCTGTCTGGTTCTCGAGTGGTCTTTGGTCGCCAGAAAGAGCGAATAAAGCCAGCTTTTTTGGGTTCATTTTTATCAAAATTATTTTGGTTTGTATTGTCGCGTCATCCTCAACATGTTTTCATATCTCATATCAAAGCCCGCAAGTAGAGAGCCAAACACATTCCCAGAAGAATTGAAATGTTAATATTGTGAGTATTTTTTTTATCGTAATGATTGCTTTGTTTTGTTATAATCCTTGCCCGCCAGTGGTCGGTGATTTCTCTTCACTTTTATCTGAGAAAGTGTTTTAAACTAATCATTTTAGACTTCAATATTTGTCAAGCAAACATCCAACTAAAAGCCTCAATAAGAAGTTTTTCAGCATCTGTTCAAGCAAAATGGCCCCACGCATGTGGAGTAAATGAATACAATATTGTCGGAATAGTTATTATCCTGTTCATTAAAATGCGAATCTTTGGATCATGATAAAGTTAAGTCTGGAGGCCGCATAAGTTCTCAATTATAGCCATTAGTATAGGTAATCGCATGGGGCCGAGTAAAATTAAGGATTAATATCACTTGTGTTTTCGGAAGTTGCTGAAATTGCCCGAGTCGCGCAGCGACCAGGGCAATTTCTGCAACTTCCGAAAACACAAGTGATATTAATCCTTAATTAATTCTACGAGGAACCAGGTGATTACTTGTTTATAATGTAAGGGGCAAAATGTTTTCTTACTGATCTCGCGCAAAACGGGACGCCATTGTTACAATAACAAACAGAAATTTCTTTACCTTAGCAGCCGTTGCTAAGCGATTTTCAGCCAATGATTTTCAGGTAATTTTTCCGGGGCAATTACAAAAATTAAGAAAAAATGCCCTCTGTCTTGACCAATCCCAATTCAGTAATCTTGCCCCTAATATGGTAATACTTAATTACTACTACTCACATTGTTGACCAGCTTAGAACTCTCTCTGGCAACAAGCTCGGTGCTCTTCCCGCCCTCATTCAAGAATATCACTGTAGTCTTACTCTTAAACTTGTAAAATTTAACATTAAAGTAAGACCTAGATGATACGTTCAACTGAAAAATACACATCACACTTTGCTCTAATAACATATTTCTTCGAGTTGTTTGTTTTTTATACATTTTACACATATCCCACATAGCTGGTTCGATTAAACATCTTGACGAGGCAATCTCCTAGTATTCCATGCATTACTAATGTGCCGTTGTTTGGTCTACATCGAGGTGGCTTTTCACTGAATTCAAAGCCCTCGTTGTTAGTAATTTTTATCCCAATGTGATTCGCTAGCATACCCACGTATACATCGTCAAATCTGAAGTGAGGCACTAATGAAAATGCTTCGACAAATGAAAGGATAACATCACCAGATAAAATGAATCCAAATCCGGGACAGAAGGCTGGATAGAACGTACCGTTATATTCTTCACGGGTTATTTTCCATTTACCCCGTCTCTGAATCAAAGGGGTCCTTCTATGACGGCCCGCGTAAAGATTTTCTTTCGGTGTAGTGGGGTTTCTCAAAAAGGAGATAATTCTCGGAACATTCACAAACACATCATCGTCTGTCTTTAAAAGAAAAGCAAACTTGCAATACTTGGATGCCCACTCGAAGCCCATTTGTATCTTGAAGGTCTGATTCCAGTAATGATCATAGTAGTTTGCTCGCACAAGGTCTCCATGCACTTTATCTTCCTTTAACAATGCAACAGACTCAGCTTGTATTCTGCTCTGACCGACAAGAAAAACTGTCGTCCATAGTGACAAAGAGTCTCTATCGAAGGCCCAAGTCTTGCGAATAAGATTTCTTCGTTGCCAGTGTCCGGTAGCAGTTGAAACGAGTATGATGAGATAATAATATTTGGAACAAGCTCTGTTTGTAATCAGCGTTGTCTTGTGTTTGATTATTGGAGTTACATCTTTTTTGAGATTAGCGGAAGCAAATGGAGGTGCTGACGTGATCCATTGAATTGACACGTCCAATTCATGATCCCTTTTTGATGTCGATTCAGAAGATAGAGGCCGGGGCCAGGAGAGGAGAGCTGGATAAAAGGGAAGAAGCAATTGGATGCTGCATAGGACAGTGCCTATTGCCAAAATAGTCAGGAATAAACGAAAAATCCCCTTTGAAGTCCCCATAATCATGGTTTGTGAAATCGGAAAGGTAACTGAGACGGCGAAAAAGATTCCTGCGGTTATTTCACTTAAAAATGAAAAAAGGGAAATGATTTTCGAGCCTCTAAGGTTACCAGGGTTGCACACCAATGATAAGCAAAACATTCGTGTTAATTTAGAAGTGTGCTAGTACAAAGTGCTTAAGAATTAGGAGACTTTAGGAGGCTGCGCTTGTTTTAGAAGCAAACGAAGGCGCATTTAACAGAGCGTGAGGTGGTTGTTCGTTAAGTATGTTGAGCCAGGGCCAAAGCAATCAACGGTCCACCCCCCCCCCGTTGCAAAATAATACGGCTGTTTTCAACATGGTGAATGTTTTGATCCTCCAGTAATATAGTTCCAAGAGGGAAAGAAGCCATAAACTTGAAAATAACTAAAATTGTCTGCATTGACAGAGACAACGGAACGTATTTGTGCACGATCCTCGCAGTAAACGGAGCACTATTTAAGCAATAGTGAAAATCAGACCTGAAAAAATTCAGGCCTATACCCGATTCGAACCACCGACCTCTGCGATAGTGCAGCGCTCTACCAATTGCGCTAACAAGCCAACTAGGAGCAGGTCGTCAAATTAGTCCGACATAAACACGTAAGATGATAAATCAAACACAACGAATATATGAAATTCATAGAGAATTTCATAGAGAGAGACAACGGAGTTCAAATTGCCGCAGTAGGGATGGTTAGAACAAACAGCCAGTCAATATAAAAGCGGACTTGTATGGGAATATGTTTAAAGGAAAGAGTAACTTCTTCTATACTGACTCGTGTCTTTGAATTCTGATTCACGTCTTAGATTCTACTTTCTTCTTTTTACACGGTTGACCAGCTCGGAACTCTCTGTGGAAAAGAGCTGCACTTCCCGCCCTCATTAATATGACTGTAGTATGACTCTTAAACTTATAAATTGAATGACGTGGCCTTGAGCGCCTTGCGCGCCTTGCGGCTGCACTCGCACCTCGCTCGGCAATTTTTTTTACCTTTTATCTTTCAACCTTTTTTATCAATTTATATCTTGATATTTCCTTAGTGTTAAAGCTATATACGAGATCTTAAATGGCATTTAGTTATTCAGGGCGAATGATTAGAGCCATTTTACCCCTGCATGATGGAAAACTACTATACCGTGGCTTATGGCGTAAATTATGTGATCTGGGTATTGCGAGATTCAAGCCTACGCGCCGTGGTTGCCGTGCTGGCCGCAAGAAAAGCAACTTGCCTTCATCTATTCAGCTGGTCGAGGAAGAGCTGAACTCTGTCGAATCGAATTATTGTCAGCCTACCGAGTTTGAGAAGAACGATAGTGATTTACATATTCCTTCATCTCAAGAAGCCGACTTATTAAATATTCAGTTTGTCACCTCCATGTACGTTCCCAAACTGATGCTTGGAAATGTAGTGTCTCTAGTACCAAAGATGGATCAAGTTCAGGAGTTTATTCATCGCAACAAGATCTGTTTAGCCTTCATTACTGAAACTTGCCTTAAAAAATCGATTCCAGAAAGCGTTATCAACATCCCTGGATTTAAACAACAAATATATATGAAATACATATATATGAACTGCGGTTATGAAACGTATATGTGCACGATCCTTCGCAGTAAAGCACTATTTAAGCAATAGTGAAAATCAGACCTGAAAAAAATTCAGGCCTGTACGGGATTCGAACCACTGACCTCTGCGATACTAGTGCAGCGCTCTACCAATTGAGCTAACAAGCCAACTGGGAGCAGGCCATCAAATTAATTCGACATAAACCCGTAGATGATAAATCAAACAACAAACATATGAAATACATATATATGAACTGCGGTTATGAAACGTATATGTGCACGATCCTTCGCAGTAAAGCACTATTTAAGCAATAGTGAAAATCAGACCTGAAAAAAATTCAGGCCTGTACGGGATTCGAACCACTGACCTCTGCGATACTAGTGCAGCGCTCTACCAATTGAGCTAACAAGCCAACTGGGAGCAGGCCATCAAATTAATTCGACATAAACCCGTAGATGATAAATCAAACAACAAACATATGAAATACATATATATGAACTGCGGTTATGAAACGTATATGNTGGCCTGCTCCCAGTTGGCTTGTTAGCTCAATTGGTAGAGCGCTGCACTAGTATCGCAGAGGTCAGTGGTTCGAATCCCGTACAGGCCTGAATTTTTTTCAGGTCTGATTTTCACTATTGCTTAAATAGTGCTTTACTGCGAAGGATCGTGCACATATACGTTTCATAACCGCAGTTCATATATATGTATTTCATATGTTTGTTGTTTGATTTATCATCTACGGGTTTATGTCGAATTAATTTGATGGCCTGCTCCCAGTTGGCTTGTTAGCTCAATTGGTAGAGCGCTGCACTAGTATCGCAGAGGTCAGTGGTTCGAATCCCGTACAGGCCTGAATTTTTTTCAGGTCTGATTTTCACTATTGCTTAAATAGTGCTTTACTGCGAAGGATCGTGCACATATACGTTTCATAACCGCAGTTCATATATATGTATTTCATATGTTTGTTGTTTGATTTATCATCTACGGGTTTATGTCGAATTAATTTGATGGCCTGCTCCCAGTTGGCTTGTTAGCTCAATTGGTAGAGCGCTGCACTAGTATCGCAGAGGTCAGTGGTTCGAATCCCGTACAGGCCTGAATTTTTTTCAGGTCTGATTTTCACTATTGCTTAAATAGTGCTTTACTGCGAAGGATCGTGCACATATACGATCCCTGGATTTACTATCATACGTAGGGACAGAGTTGTCAACAATCATGGTGGTGTGTGCGTTTACATCAAAGATTGTGATATCAAGTACAAGGTCCTCCATGAACTTACGAGTTGCCAAGATCATGAAATTGTTTGACTCCATCTGAGACCTACTCGTTTACCGAGGGGTTTTTCCTGCTTAATTGCTGGTGTCGTTTATCACCCACCCAGCTGAGAAGATAATTCTGTTCGAGATCATCTATTCCAATCAATTGCTCTGGCAGAGTCAAAGTTCCCGAACTGCGGCTTCATGGTTGCTGGCGATTTCAATCGTTTGGACGTTACAAGAATCAAGAAACATTTCCGACTAAAGCAAATTGTCAAATCTCCGACTTGCAAGGACGTAATTCTCGATTTTGTATTGAATAATTTGAACGATTATTATGTTTCTCCCGAAATTTTTCCACTTTTCGGGTTGTCTGACCACAATACAATCATGGCCTCGCCCAATGTAAGAACCGAGAACTTAAACACTAGGAAAGTCTTTTATAAGCGTGACTCCAGAGCTAGCCGTAAAGCAGCAATGAGACGATATTTGTGTGCCCTGGACTGGCCTCTATTATTCAATTCTCTTCAGAGTTGTGAAGATTCGTTGACCACTTTTCAACAAGTGATTAGTACTGGTCTCGATCTACTCATGCCTTTGAGAAAGATCCGCGCAATTCCATCTGACGTCCCTTGGATGTCCCAGAAACTAAAGTCGCTGATTCAGAAAAGACAGGAGTACTTTTTTAAAAGCGGAGCAACTTCCATCCAGTTTAAGTGCTACAGAAATGCTGTCAATCGTGAGAGAAAAGTATTTAGGGCTAACTATTACGAGTCTAGAGTGCAGCAAATGAAAGGTGAACATCCCAAAGCCTGGTGGAAAGAAGTTAAGCGACTGAAGTGGAATGCAGTCTCGCAGTTGCGACCTGCTATGTAAATTGGATGTCGAAGAGATCCAAGATCGAACTGCGGAGGAAATTGCTAACACCATTAACAAGGCATTGCTTGAGCCGCTAGAAGAATACCGATCGACCAGTCCGCTGACTCCTTTGCCGCTGGAGGATTGTCCGGAATTCCTAGAGGTAGCTGAAGAGAGAACCTACAAATTGTTGTCGAAGTTCAATCCCGCAAAGGCTACTGGACCCGATGGTCTTCCAAACTGGCTACTTAGAGAGTTTGCTAGCTCGGTCGCCTTCCCGGTAAAAACCATCCTGAATGCCTCCTTCAGTGAACAACGACTGCCCAGTTCCTGGAAATATGCTGATGTCGCCCCTCTTCCGAAGAAAACACCTGTGCGAAATCTGAAGAAAGATTTGAGACCCATCTCTCTGACACCATGTCTGTCCAAAGGTTGCGGAGGATTTTGTTGTAACTGATCATCTCAAGCCAGCTGTGATGAAAGTACTGGGTACTAACCAGTACGGAGCTGTCCCAAAGTCCTCCACCACTATCGCCTTGCTCAGCATGATTCATGAGTGGATGACAGGAACTGACGGCAGCGGATCTACTGTTAGAACGATCCTTTTTGATTATAGAAAGGCTTTCGATCTGATAGATCATGCTATTCTAATCGATAAATTAAGTAAACTAGATCTTCCTATTAATGTAATCAATTGGATTATTGTAATCAACTGGATTACTGATTTTCTAAGTAACCGGTTCCAAAGAATCAAACTGGTTGTGGGATGCCTCTCTGAGTGGGGCTCAGTCCCATCAGGAGTCCCTCAGGGGACGAAATTAGGGCCTTGGTTGTTTGTGGTTATGATAAACGACCTCGTAATTGATGGCGCGCGTGTCTGGAAATATGTAGACGACACTGCTGAAGTTGTCGGAAAGGGCGGGGTTAGTAGTGTCCAAATTATTGCTAATAAGGTAGTCAGTGGTCTCTGGCTAACAGAGTCCAGCTCAATAATGAGAAATGCAAAGAGCTTCGAATCTCTTTTTCGAGAAATAAGGCAATATTTGAACCAATTAGGGTACATGGCAAAGAGTTAGAGCTCTTTGATAGTGCAAAGTTGCTAGCTATAGGAATAACAATCACAAGTGATCTGTCATGAAACACCCATGTAAATGATGTTATCAAAAAGGCAGCCAAAAGGCTATACTTTTTAGCTCGGCTAAAAAGGGCCAAGGTTCCCTGCAATGACTTAGGGTTATTTTAAATCACGTGTGTAAGATCAGTTTTAGATTATACGATCGCTGTGTATTATTATTC